GAGCTAAGGTAAAATGCAGGCAGGGACTACCTAGGTACTATTCGGTAGGCGCGTTCAATTTATGTGTACGTTATCTGATATAGAGAGAGAGAGAGAGAGAGAAATAAGGGAAGGCCAGGGCAGTAATCAATCAATTGATGGCTTGGGGGCAGAATTACATACCGAGCTGCTTACTACTTGCAAATTTCTGACCAGTTTACATAGCTGAGGTTTTACCACCTATACTTATGTTTTATTTTTCATGACCATACCTTAACCGTCAGGTGGGTGCCTTGGGTGCCAGTTATGGCGACATGCCAGATTCCCCGGGGGTTGCCTTTCCATCGCTTAAAAGAGGATGCAAGGCCTGGTTCCTGTAAATGTGTGCTCCGTATAAACGTACGTAGGTGAATCATAGAAATAAAAGGGAAGGAGCCATCATTCTCGGTCGCAACTCGTGCTATATGGACGTGCTTTGACATCATCTTTTTGCTCTAGATGTGGCAACTGCTGGAGTTTTGCATTCTTGGGACTTTCGCATCCTCCAGTGACTTTGACTTATTAATCCTCCTCCTGCATGCTGCATCGCACAGGTTACATTGGTTTCTCATTTGCAATAAATACACACACGTCCAACCAAACGAGTGTGAATGGACACGTTCGAGCTGATCCATCACGCCTAGACAAGTTATTCTTTTACCCAGATCTTTGGATAGCTTACGGGCGCACTTATTACGGAATCCTTTCAGAAAAGTCTTGCGTCGCGTCCCCTGGCCGCGTGCTTGTGCTGCATGACACTCACTGCCTGTATCACAAGACCATCGACCGCAAGCAGTCACAGTCATCAACCAACGATAATAGCCACTTTTATTCAGTACTCATATACTCCAGGTCGCCCGATACACGCCTGTGCCGTAGCAGGGTTTGAGGACAAAACAGTCAGCAGTCGCCAGTCACCCACAACTCAAGCGCGGTTCGTTGCAAGTACCATTTATCATTTCGCTTCATGGGCGCAAGGCCCAGGACCTAAATCGGCAGGGTCCCTCCCTAGGTACTCCAGACACAGCGACAGCCAAAGCAGATGGGCGCCGCTAGATCGATTCAACGGACCCCGCTAGAAAGGCACCCTTTGTGCAAGCTCCAAGAAACCTTACAAGATTGGCTGCGCGACGAACGACCCCCCCACGAAGTACATCTATCTCATAGGCAGACGACATCGTGCCGCACGTCACAGATTCCTGCACTCTCCCTCCTCTATGGTAGCCACCCTGTCGGATTGCTGTAATCGGTCGCGACGACGACGGCGAACATATCTACCCCCTTTGCAGCCGTCTCCCTCGCGGGCAGCTCTCTGCGACCATGGGTGTTGTCGGCAGTAAACCCGACGATGGCTCAGCCGTCGCCCTCAGGGATCAGAATCGATGTTGGTCTCCCCTCCCCTCCACTGGTCTTGAAGCCTCTCTTGCGGTCGCAAACTCTCACGAATGTGTCTCGGCTGACCCAGAACCTTTTGCCAGTATCCATCTCCTCTCTTGTCATTTCCAATCCTCGAAAGCGTAGCGCTATCACCATTGTTCCCAATGCATTCCCAGCAACCAAAGTTACTGCCACGCGGACGTCGGGAGATACAGGCCCAGTAGAGTTTATACAGGTTTGTGGCATTATATCCAGGGCGATGCGTTTCAATGTCTCGCACAAATCTCTAACTCCACTGCTGCAGGACACGGAACCCTCCCCTGCGCCAAACTTCTTACTCAAGTTGAACAACGATGACGAACTCGTCTTCACCTTTACATTTATCATTCGACAGGATGCCAGCAGCGGCGCTGCCACAGATGCTCATATCAATGGCTTGACATATGTGTATGCCTCCAACAGCAGAGAGGTCGAGAATCTAGTCACTCGAGAGTTCCACGCCGACCCGAATTTACACAAGAATGCCAACGTCGAATTGGTGGGAGACTTCAATACCGGCGGCAGTCCCTCCGTAAGCTTTGACTGGTCATGGAAATGGAAACCACCAAAACCCTTGGAAGATCGCGGTGGTGGATGGCGGAACGCCTGCAGTGTACGTAACGACTAACGGACTTGATGACCACGAACCTCTGAGCTAACAATACTTCAGTTCGTCGAATACGACCACAGAGCCCACAAGTTGGTTGCTTTGGCAAGTTTTTCCTTCTGGGTTGCCAGTGAGTTACCGCCATCGTCCCTAGATCGTCTTCTCGTATGCTAACCAACGGTTCAGACACTACGACAGTCCTTTCCCAGCCAAGCTCGCCATCCCCGGTCTTTCAATTGGCAGTTCCTCCCAAGATTCGTATCGCCTCAGCGCAGTCTGTTGAGTCGCGTATTAGCGAGGTGGACGAGCCAAGCTCTCCACTGAACCTGCAGCCAGACACTATTCCAATAGCTCCTATAGAATCCAATGTGTCGCAACAGGCCATCAAAGTCGACGTGGTCTGCCCGCGACCTGGAGACGATATGACTGTCAGCGATGACGGTCCCGTTTTCCGCGCCACAATCAAAGCACTGGAGCAGAAGACTGGAAACATGAGAACCCAGATGAAGAGAGTTCTCAAGAAAGCCGAACAGGCGCACGCTGCCCAGATCGAAGCCAATGATGCCTTTGCCAGTTTCGTCGAAAGTCTGCGCGAGGCGTCCAGCACAAATGCCAATGCCGTACAGCCGGCTATCGAGCATTATTTTGACAAGATTTCGCGAGAAATCCTGGCTTACGAACGACTAAACGCCGCAAACCTGCAAAAGACAATCATTGACCCAATCAGCAAGCTGTATACTTATGATATCAAACAGGCCGAAAGCAAGAAGAGAGACTTTGAGGAAGATAGCAAAGATTATTATGCTTACGTTTCTCGATATCTGGGCCAACGTCAGGACTCGGTCAAGGCTAAGAAGCTGGTCGACAGCGACAATAAATACCAGACAAAACGGCGGAATTTTGAGCTCAAACGCTTTGATTATTCCTCCTTCGTACAGGATCTACATGGAGGTCGCAAAGAACAAGAGGTCCTGTCGCATCTGACGAAGTATGCTGATACTCAGGCGCGGAACTTTTTGACCACGGCAAAGAAGATCGATGGCCTGCTACCACAGCTCGAGGCTCTCTCGAATCAGGTACAAGAAGCGGACAAGGAGTTTCAGTATCAACGACGCGAGAGGGAGGAGAAGAGAAGAGTTCTTGAGAAGAGCAACCTTCAGTATAACGAACCAGAAACTGTGGCTTCAGCCACGAGCCCGGCTCCCATTTCAATTGGTTCGACGGCAAACGGAATATCATATGCATCTGATTCCGAAATCGGGCGTGCGGACAGTACCAGCTCTCAGCTGAAAGCTGTTCTCACAGGCAGCTCAGGCACAACAATAACACCAGGAGTTGAGCTTTCAAGGTCGCCCGGAAGCCTAGGCCAGGCCTCGGTCGGCAGTCCGTCACAAGCATCCAAATTTAGGGGCATCCGTGATTTGGAAGAGAGGGATTTCTCTCAGTCTCTCGGGCTTGATAAGAGCACATCACACAGGAAAGAGGGGCTGCTATGGGCACTCAACCGGCCAGGAAGTCATGTAGATCCACGGGCGTTGACGAAGCAGCAGGGTTGGCACAAGTGAGTTACTTTGGCATGCATCAAGGACTGTGACTGACAATTCATAGATTCTGGGTGGTGCTCGATCAAGGAAAACTATCCGAGTACAGCAACTGGAAACAGAAGTTGGATTTGCACATGGATCCGATTGATCTCCGCCTGGCCTCTGTTCGCGAGGCCAGAAATGCCGAGCGGCGGTTTTGTTTTGAAGTAATCACACCGCATTTCAAGCGAGTATATCAGGCTACTTCTGACGAAGATATGAACAATTGGATCATGTCAATTAACAATGCACTGCAAAGCGCAGTCGAAGGACGTGGCATCAGAGATTTGCCGACAACATCGTCTTCATCCACTAGTGATTCAACCACCTTTAAACGAGACATTGGATCCGTTTTGACAGGGAAAAGCACATCACTCAACCACGGCCACGGACATCAAGGAGCTTCAGCGGCTGGCATTCCCACACGACGTATTACTGTTGGCGCCCGACCACCGGCTTCCCAAAGACCCGCAAGCAGTACCTTTGACGACAGTCCGGATAAATTGCTGCAAATGTTGCGAGATCACGACCAAGGGAACCTGTGGTGTGCTGACTGTGGCAGTGGAGCCAAGGTTGAATGGGTCTCTATCAATTTGGCCATTATCCTATGCATCGAGTGCAGTGGAATCCATCGATCTCTAGGCACCCACATCAGCAAGGTCCGCTCTCTAACACTCGACATCACGTCGTTCACACCCGATATCATCGAGCTGCTCCTTCTTGTTGGAAATCGAGTCTCAAATATGGTTTGGGAGGCCAAGTTGGAGGCCGGAATCAAGCCGGGCCCTCAAGCATCGCGAGAGCAGCGACTAAAGTTTATTACGGCCAAGTACGTCGACAGGGCCTATGTTGAACCAATCTCAGCAACTCTATCAAGGTACCCTTCGGCAGACGAAACTCTCCTTGCTGCTATCAAACGCAATGAGATACAGCAGGTTATTTACGCTTTGGCGCTCAAGGCTAATCCAAATGTCCTGGACAAGTCTCGTGGCACGCATGCTGTATTCCTTGCCCTGGCAGCTGCAGACCCGGCTTCGCCATCCCCTTCGACCACGCCTCCGGGACGCAGCGACACGGACGGTCCAATCAAGCCATTTCCAGTCGCTGAGATGTTGATCCAGAATGGAGCAGAGGTGCCTGCTACCATGCCCGCTTTCCCTCTTAGCCACAGCGCCCAGCTGTATATTGAGGCGAAGCGTGGTCGCACCGCCGCCATCGATGCGCCAGGCGTGTCCATGACATCGAGCTTGAGCCCCAGTCCCAGCGAGAGGGGGCGCCGAGACAAGGATCGGTTGCAAAAGCGTATCAGTGCAGGAGGCTACCTGGCGACGTCGCCGATACCCGAACGATAGAGTCGTCGGGCGACGATGTCGAGCTCTCCAGCAGCCTCGCTGGCGGCTGTGCCTTTGCTCGCAGCGCCTTTTCTAGAGTCATCGTCCTCTCCCGAGAGAGGACGCCGGCCGAGGCGCAGATCTAGCATTGGACGATAGAAACGGCGTTTGCAGCTCCCATTTGTACCTGAGAGCCCGACGTGTTCGTCGACGCTATCTGCTTTTTGTCTTCCCGTTCTTCCTCTCTGTCCCGGTGGCGGAAGCATGTCGCCGCCTTCTTCTCCCTGTACAAATTCTTCCACGACTAGTTCGGCTCCTCGACTTGATGTTTTCTTCAGCTTTAGTGATGGGTTGGGCTGGGAATCATCATCCATGACATTGCGTGCACGGCATAATTTGGGCGCGGCGTCGGGGGTATTTTGAATGACGGGAGGTTATCTAGTTATATATGGAGTGCATGGATAGGACAATAATCGTAATCAGTGTACGATTCAAGAGGGATGAAATGAATTCTTTTTCCCTTGCTCTCAGTTACCAATCAGGGCCCGTGTAATTGCACTGCTTGATTTATTGTGTTCTGTTCTGATTGCTGCTACTGCTAAGTGCAAGGCCGAAGAGAAACAAGGCAACTACTTGGATGCTCGAGAATTTGGGCATAGTAATCCAGACCAGGACTGAGAAAATGCTTGGATATATATATACTCTATGTGAGCACCCAGTTGTATATGACTTGGATTTATTGATGGTTTGGAAGTTGGTCAATGATTATCGTATGTATTATTTATACACGTTTTCGCTTTGCTTTGTCTACTAGGTAATTGTCGAAAGACCATCCAAATCGTTTCGGGGACTTAGTTTTTTTT